GGTCATTTTATTTTGTCATAACATAAAATTAATGTCTACAGTAAATGGCATTGTTCTAAAGTGAAAAGAGGAAAAAATCACTTCATTAAAATCCGCCTCCTGTACTTCGGTTTATATATCATGGCGCGTCAGGGCCTGTCTTCACGATGAAATATCGCACGGCATTTCGAGTCTTTCTTGATCGTGCCGCTAGAAACATCGCACTGCTTGATACGGACGCGATCATGAGTGCATCTAGCGGCACGACAGAGAAAGACGCGAAAAACCATGAGACATTCCATCGTGAAGCCAGGCCCTGACGCGCCCCGTTATATAAAAAAGTATTGTCATATAGGTCTTTGATAGTCACTGCCGTCGCCGCGCGACCCGTCGTCCCTCTAGGCCACAGAGACGTTCCCAACAGGGCCGGTATCGACCCCCCTGGGGACCGATGAAATTTTGAAGGAGATTAATGATGAACATTGGGATGATTGGGGGTCAATAGATGAATATGAATTGTCGCCTATTGAATATAAGATCCCATCCATTACAAAACAAAATAACGAACTTAATTGTTTCCTGATATAAAGCAAACACCTATAATAATAAATTGCAAATTAGCTCCTCTTCTTTCGTATTCGTCGTTCATCCTTGAATAATAAGTTATGCAGAATACTCAAAAACTTATAACTATTCATCACAGGATTCTCGAAAATATTCTCCTCAATACATTGGAGAAATGTTATGGATAGTTCTTTTTTTAAAAAAAAATGTCTACATTTTGTAACGGATTGACATGTAATGGATTATCATGATGATTAGAATCTCAACTTCTCAAAAAAGGAAGCCTATTCAATTATTGAAAATTGAGATATTTATGAGAATATTGTAGTAAGAAATTGATATCTTTAAATTATTTATGCGCAGTTTTTAGTGTCATGCTGTATATTATAGCTGTGAATAAATACTCAACGTTACTGATACATCAAAAACCATATTTATAGCGGTAACGTAAGTGGGTCCATGTTGCAAACTATTTTCTTAAAAGAGGTCGATAAAAGGATGTTCTAGGTGGAGGCATGGCGTCCTTCAAAACACTTGTTGGTGGCCATAGATATTTATTACCTTCCAGCGAAAATGTAGGGCAAGGTTTTATGACTATTTGCGCGTCCTTTCGGGAGTACCACATTCCATAGTCGGCAGCTCGACCGCACCTAACCGCCCAGTTTCCGAGGCGCTCTCCCACGAATAGTGATTTTTAGCAAAACATCGATACATGACCAAAACATTTTCCAAGTCAATTAAAACATCGAGGTTTCAAATAGCGATGCCTTAAATATGATGATTCATTTTGAAGTCAAATGTCCCGTTTCTAATGTAATAGATAACACATCAAAATCAATTTAAAGTACTGTATTCTTGCCTTAAACTTTGCTGCCATCTTAATTTTTTAATCAATGTTCTATACGCAGTCAAGGTTCAAAATACTGTTTAAGGATATTACTACATACAAAATATTCAAACTAGTGATGCTACAGAACAGCACAGATGATCTCGTACTATATAGTTAGTTTTCTAAATTCTTTGGTTTGCAGACGAAGAAATACCCCAGACGTCTGGTAAAGTTTTTCGGGGTTGCCTAATCCTCTTGCCACTTGCCATCTATCGCCACCCAAACTACATTTTTGTGAAATTTTCTCAATTTTTTTGTTTTTCTAATGAAAAAGTCGAAATAATACTTAAAAAATATTAAAGAAGAGTAAAGACTCGTCTAATGGGAAAATTTTCATTGAAACATTTGCAGCCATTTTTACGAAAATGTCGTTTAATTTGAAGCTCTTTTCCACAGGAGTTTTCGAAAAACTTCATTGGATGTCATTTAAAGTAATTTCACTCACAACAGTGTTTACAAATCGCCGGAAATGTGCGTATTAAGGGCGTGAGAGATTTGTCAAAAAATATATATTTGCGTTATTTCAAAAAAGAAACAAACAACAAAATAAAAGGATACAGCAAAATTACTCTTATGTCATCTTAAGAAATGCATTTAGCATTCTCCACGCAAAAGGTGTTTAAAAAATATTTGGAGTCGTTTTGGAGACAATGGCGTTAGACCGTTGACGCGAAAATTTGAGCTCATTTGCTAAGAAAACTCTTGTTTTTCAGAAACTTAAGACATCATTTGAAGCGCTTATTTCAGCACATTCAATAATGTAAATAAATCGTAGTTAATGTAAATATTAACATCGCGAGATAGAACTAAAAAATACATTATTGTATTTTTTGAAAAACAACTAGTGGTGCTACAGTATGACTTTCCCGTATTATTTTTTTTATTTTCTACGGTCTCGGCTAGTTATTCGGATTTTCCACATACTCTTACCAGCTGCTATCATCTGGCAACCAAAGTACATTTTTTTGACATCTTCTAATATTTAGGTTTCCTAATAGTAGAAGTGAAATATTATTTTAAGAATATTAAAGAATAGTACAACCCCGTCATAAACATAAATTTTTATTGAAAAATGTGGCACGGTTTTTAAGAAAATGGCGTTGAAGAGATACTATAAATTTGAAGTTATTTTTCACAGGAATCTATTGTTTTCGAAAAAATTAATTAAAAGTCATTTGAAATATTTCCACTCACAAATCCAATAATGTACACAAATTGCTAGAAATATGCATATGAAAGATGTGAGATGTATTTAAAAAAAATCATGTGTAATTTAAGGAAAAATCGAAAGATAAAGCGAAATTAACTTGATGTTATTCTTTAGCACTACCCGTTGGAAAAGTTCCAAGAAAAACTTTGAAGCCACTTTTTAGAAAATGGCGTTTGAGCATTTCTGAAATTGCGTAATTATGAGCTCGTTTTCTCATAAAACTTTTCAGTTTTCGAAAAATTTTATATAGCATCAATTCATACAGCAAAACTTTGTACAGCACATGTGCAATAACGTGAACAAATCACCGTTAATGTAAATAATAACGACGTGAGAGACAAAGTAAAAAAAAAAGTTATTTTTGAAAAAACAAAATAGAGCAAAATGGCGTTTATATTTTCTTATATTTCAAATTTTTTAAAAATTCGAGCCGTTTTCGAGAAAAGCTTTTCTTGTAATTTCTTAAAATTGCAGATATTGCTCGTAATATTGCGCGAAATCTACTATTTTTTTAAAAAAAATATACATGACCTTAATGAAACTATGGAGAACAAATTATATTTGAAGAAAACATCTATATCTTCAATTTTGTAGTTGTAGGAAGACGCGGAAAAAATCCAAATTTTGCAATTTTCGAATAGGCCGAGTCAACCGTGAAAATCGGACCTCGTCACCTTTAGAAGCGTATTTTACTCTATTTTTACAAGAAATTTTAAGAAAAAATTTGGAATGTTTTTGAGAAAATTTTGAAAATGTCTGGGGGTCTTCTTGTGAAGTACCCCCAAAAATTAATAAAAATTTTTCAAAATCGCAGAGCCTCGGCTCATGGCAGATTGGCAGGGGTTTATTCAGTTCGATAAAGGACGTTCGTAATGTATTTGAAGCTGTTAGCAGGGAAAAGAAAAGAGTTTGGGCGCGTTCACAAGTCACCACAGCGGCGCGCTTCCGATAAGCGATAAGTCTCTTCTGGCGCCGCCACCGTCGCTATGGAAGGGGGTGGGGTCTGCAGGGGAAGGTTTCGGCAACGACGAACAAACAGACAGCAGCAGGAAAAACGCGGCGACCGGCGGCGCAATGGGAATACCATCATTTAACTGTGTTCTGCTAGCGGTGGCGCGTATGCCGTCCTTCGCTTCTCGTAGCGAGTGTCCGTCGCCGATCGCCGCAAACCCGCCACACGCGGGAAGATCTCCATTCAAACCAATGCTCTGCTAAGGGCCCCTTCCCACGGCACGACCGCGGCGCGCTTCGCAGCAGCGCGGCGCGTAGCAGAGCATTGGTTTGAATGGAGGCCTTCCCACGTGCAGCGGGTGGCGGCTGCTGCGGCAGCCGACGCCGAACTCCAGCTATACGCGAAGCGGAGCTCTACGCGAAGCGTAGCCCCCCCTACGTGTCACGAAGCGGGCAGCGGTGGCGACGTGACAAGACCCCTTCATCCGCCATAAAAGGCCTGTGTAAAACGAGGCGGCGTGACGTCCAGCATTCGCTGCACAGGCTTACCGGCGGACGAAGGCAGCTGCCAGGCAGCATTCAAGGATGGGACATAGGATCTGAAGATGGGGCGTGCTCACCACATAGGATTAGTATTTAGCTCAGCGAGTAGCACTGAGCATCAACTATTTTCTTAATATGCGGTATGGGCCACTCCCTTATGCCTATATCAGAAGAGATCATTTATAGAAATACAATGCAATGTAATGCATTTGCAGCCTTCCCCATTTAAAAAAAAAAACACGAGCCGTGACTGCTTTCTCTTTACCACATAAATATGTTCATGCCGTGTACGAGAAAGTAACTACTGGTGCCACAGAATGGCACAGTCTTTCTCGTGCTAGTTGGCTTCCTAATCTCGTCTGGGTTTTTGGTTTGTCCCCATCTCTCTTCCAGGCTGCTACCTCTCGGCGTCACAAAATAAAACCTATTGACGCAATTTATTAATTTTTCAGTCACCTGGTTTCAGCAAGAATATTCCTGGTATTTGTAATTTAAAGCATAAATATGTGCAAAACAACATCAATGGATTGTGACATCACTCTAAATTGATTAAGATGTGTAGTCGTGATGTAGGGGGATGGTGCTAGAAGATTGAAAGTTCTGAAAACCACACAATTTGCTGATTTTGTGTATTTTTTAAGTATTCGAGTCTCACCTAAGTTTCATTTGAGTAGGTTGGCACTTTTGCCGCCAGTTGACAAAAGATGAATAAAATACATATGAGTGCCCAAGAATGTGCACGAAGTAAACATCCAAAAAGAAAACAATAAATAAAGTGCGCTCAATGCTCCTTCAGGAGCTAGAAGATAAAGCGATAAAACTAGAAGAAGGAAAAAGTCAGAAATTAAGGGAGAAGCAAATCACTTTCTGTCTTAAATAAAACATTGATTTATTATTACAAGAACAAAAAAATATTTACATGTTATCTTACAACAAATAACTACACTTCTTGTTAAATTATTCATACCAGTGTTTGTGATAATCTGATGACATAAGTTGACTTTTATATTTATCAACAAGTTTGCTAAATGAATCATATTCCTCTCCCCCTTTCTTCTTAGGCTGGAAAACAAAAAACAGTTAAAAATAGTATATTAAGTGTTTCATACATCACTTATACTTTTTAATATTTTATTAGCTAGAACGCAGTGGTTACCTGAGGCTCTCTATGCTTTGTATTATGTTTCTGAGCTTTCTTGTCCAACTTCCATTTTCGTTTGCTCTCCTTGGCATTCTTTTGGTGAACGGCTGCCTGAGTTTTGAGTTTGAATTTTGTTCGCATGTTCTTATTGCCAGGTTTGCTCTCAAGTCCAGAGTATGGTTTTGTCTCAACCCCCATTTCCTTTACCCGATTGGGGGTTTTATGATCACGTTTGTGTTTAGAATTCTGCTGATAGTTCTGACTGTTACTGGATTGCTTTTCAGCAATTGCTTGCCTACTCTTCTGTAATCTTCTTTCTCTAATTTTATGTATTGCTTTGTTTTCAATTGAAAATCCAACAATAGGCCGCTGAAACAAAATGGTCATGTGCAATTTGACATTAAAGGAATAATAATAATATTATCTTTATCATAAATGTAATGCTTATCACCTTAATTAGATGTTAAAAATATCTTGTGAAGATTAATGGATGTCACACTCGCGTTCTAAATATTAATAAGAAATATAATTTTTCTGTATATTTCTTGAGAATAGGGGGCTGCATAGACCCACTTACAAATTGTCTTTCAAAAGAAATGAATACGTTTGTTACAAGAAAAATTAATACAGAAGTAAACAAAAACCAATTTAATTGTGTAAATTGAGTGCTTTTAATTTTGGAGTGGATTTTTCTTTGTGAACAAATATACTTATTTCTTTTGTAAATAGTAAACAATTTACATGTTTCTGGAGTGTTTATGTGTCTGAAATGTAAAGTTTTGAATAGAAAGTATTTTTTCAAACAAACTTTTGAGTGCTTATTGCAGCTCAGCCATTCAAAATCTCCGAGTTTATTACAAAAAATATGCTTAAAATTGACTTAAGAACTTATTTTTAGTTTATTATTACAGTTATTAAGTTTTGTTGCTTTCCAACTTCCATACCCTTCCCGTCATTCTCCTCTAGATGTCTTCTTTGAGTAACTTTAAAAACCTGATTCTGCCATTCCTCCCTGTGTCTACCTATTTTTCTTCAAATGGAAACCACTCGCAAACCTTTCAGGGTCATCCTTTTCCCATCCCACAACCTTTCTCACGTGACCAACCCACTTTCCAGTCTTTGTGCTTCCAATTCATCAATTGATTGTTGAACCTGCATTCACTTAATAATTTCTTCATTTCTAATGCGTTCCATTAGTTACACCACAACTTCTTAAACAATCCATTTGTAAACTCTTTAATTTTCTTTATCTTTTCCTTAATCCCCATGTTTCTGAGCCATATAGTGTTATATTTTGTATGATCAAGAGTCAAAAAGTATTTTTGTAGTAGACTTGGATATTTCTTTTCCCCTAGCAGCACGTTTAACTTTCTAATAGCTTGTCATCCTTGTGTAATCTTGAAAACAATATATTTTCTGGAATCTTCTTCACTTATAATTCCTCATATAATATGTATAAAGTAATATAAAAAAATAAATATTCCACAAATACTCTTACTTTTTTATCTCTCCCAACCTCACCAGACTCCTTGATCTTTGTTGCGTGATGGCAATAGTGTAATGGTTAGCGGATAGAACTGTTGTACCCAAGTTCGCAGATTCAAAACCGATCGAATCCGTGGATTTTTAGGGAGACTAAATCCTTTGTATGCCTTCCTTCAGAAGAGAAGAAAAGCTGTCTGACCCATGTTAGTAGATTTACTGTATGTAAAAGATCCTCAAGCCTAAATGAAGCCTCTAGGCTAAATTAAAATCACCTGTTTCATTACCCAAGAAACACCTTTCTTCGCTAGTTGGTGAAGGGAGCATAGCAAAATTTGCGTGGTCAGATGGAAGAGTAGGCATCATGGCCTGAGCGTCGCCATGTAAAATAAGGCATCAATTCAAATCAATACATATATTTTTTACACGCATCTTCGCACATGTTCCTTGGTCAGACACATTTAGCGTCATGCCTACTATTACTTTGTGTGTAATGCAAAAGTTCTACACAAGTTGAGTTCTGTGACAATGTCTGATGTAGTTTGTCTTGTTTCACATTTTGTGTGCATTCATGGCACATTTTAATGTAAAATCATGAACTCTGTTAGGGTCTACTAGGAACTACTGCTCGAAGTTCATCAGAAGAGGGTTGGATTTTGTGACCAACCTAATTTCTTATGTTTTATAGTGCCACAATGCATTTGTGTTTTTCTTTTGCAGGTTGTGTATCTATAAGTGCAAGATTTATTACATTTCGCCTGTGTTCACTACTGAGTCTGCATTCATGGAATCTTATCCTGTTTCATACATAAGTTATGTGCTCATTGGGCTTCCCCTAGTTGAGTCACATGAAGTATCAGAGTCTGGGCATTTTAGCACACTAAATATACAGGCCACTCATTCCTCCAAATCATGGCCTGAACACTATGTATTGGAGTAAGGAAGATCTGTCTTGTGGTATGAGAGTACACCAAAACCTGTGCTTCCGACCGCCCCCCCCCCCTCTCCACTACACACAAAAGAAAACAACAAAAAACTACAGCACTTTTTCCTCAGCGTTATATACTTCCTCAATGTGGAAAATAGCAAGGAAGGAAAATGTATTCAAGAGAATCAAAAAAAAATCACAGCATATATTTTTCTTCTGAAACCAAGCGGTTACGTTACAAATAATATGTAAATTAAATACATACCTTCCCTTTGGTAAATATGTTTGGGTTATTGTTGAGATTTCTTAATGCTTGCAATGCATGCTTATGTTCAGTAAAGCGAACAAATGCATGTTCCTTTGATTTTCCAAGTCCATCGGCACCTATATTTCTCATATCTCTCATAATGCGTGCCTATATTACAAATAATTTTGCTATAGTTTGAATTTCTTGCAACAGCATTCAGTATAAATCTTGAATAATGCAATTATAGTTCAAGTGCAATAACTAAGATCTGAGCGTCACAAACCTCTCTAATAACAGCTCCGGGTCCAGCATGTTCCTTAAACAACTGTCGAATCTGTGCATCAGACCACGTAGGAGGTACATTATATATGATAAGTCGAGTGTTAGATACAAACATATTTAGATTACGAAGCATTTGTGTCTTCCACTGTTCAAGTTTCAACCTTTTTTCCATGTCAGTGACGGACACATCTTTGGCAGCTGCACTCCCAGCCAGAATTACTGTAACAAAAATTTACATTCTAGTAATGAGGAGAACACTTTAGAGAGAATTCACTGTTACTTATTTCTTTTATTCCTTTAATTAACATGATTCATGAATTTAATGTTGACAAATCAATTAAAACTATCATTAAAAGTCATTTTCAGATCCCTAGCACAAAAAACACACTTGGAAGAATTATAGATAAAAAATGCAGCTACCATGTTATAAAAATAAGCATGTTGAACAAATTACTCTCACCTCCCTCTTTGATAAGATACAGATGTCTTTTATCCTTTACGACCTTCTCCTTCTTTTTATCGGCCATGCTTGTAATATCATCCCGTGGAATCGCTGACAGCACCTCTATGGTTTGATCATTGATCAATATTGGTTCTGCTGTTTTCAAACAGGCTTCTGCATCTTCCTTTTTCTGATAAAGCAAAAACTTAAATCATCACATTATATTCTTCTAAGTAACTCAGGTATCTTTAATATTTAGACCACTGTAAATTAATCTAAATAACTACATCACACATTTGCTCTGAATAAAGTGCTATTGAGGTCAATATTGTTCCAATGCAACTATGAGAACAGATTCAAAAAGAAATTGTCTAACACACATCATATACAAATATCAGATTTACGAAAGATAAAAGAAACATTGGAGCAATTGGTTATAATTAATTAATTTACTTCTATTTTTTATAAGCAAAATAACAAGTAAACCTTTAATTTATCAGAGATCAATCACTGCTACAAACCTTGAATTTGACAAAACCAGTTCCTTTGGAATGTTCAGTAAGCTTGTCCATACAAATTAAAGCATATTCAAGAGGCCCAAACTGTTTCATGCATTTTTTGAGGTCATCATTTGATGCAGAGAAAGGAATATTTTTAATAAATATTGTGCATCCTTCCGTAACATCATTGGAAATTATTTTAGGTTTCTTGCTCTCCTTTTCATGTTCAACTTTTATAGATTTTATACCTCTATAAAAATAAATACCATACTCATGAATGAAATTCTGAAATATTTACATGTTCATAAAAATGTATACAGACCTTTTGTTGGTTGGATATTCATCATTTTCTGAATCATCGAACTCATCATCAACTTCATCCTCCTCCATATCATCATCATCATCATCATCATCATCATCATCTTCTTCTTCTTCTTCCTCCCACTCTTGGTCCTTCTCATCGGAATCTACTTCCGTGTCCATTTTCACATGAGCTTCATTGTCACTCTCATCAGAACAGGGTTCTTTTTTTATTTTGATGTCATTTAATGCTTTCTTTTCTTCATTATTATTCATTTCTGATGCCATATGTTTCAAATACTGATCCTTTGGTATTGCCCAATCACAAACAATTGGTCTTCCTAAAAGGAGTCCGGGAAAGACACAATGACATTTAAAATATCTATCCTTAATGCACTGCACTATATTGCAAAGACATGGAAAGATGTAAATCAATCCACTATATACAACAGCTTTAGAAAAGCTGGCTTCTTTCACACACGAGGATGAAGTATGTGAAGAAGAGAAAAAAGAAGATGATGGCCGCCATTAAACTATGGATTTTTAGGCATGAAAACTCAGAAATAGGAAGGCAAAATAGGCATTTAACAAGGCAATCTATATTTTTCTTATCCTTATTTATGTTCTTGAGTAGAACATTTCTGAAGTAAACATAATATAGTTATCTTCACGGAATGTTTGTTTCATCATTGCTCTTACAGACTGAATTGCAGTAGTTACCTTTATGCTTTTCTCTTAATGCAAAGTTCATATTCTAGTGTGGCACAGTATTATCTCATGTCACATTTAATTTAAACATGTGAAAAATATTGTATGGTGTTATAATCACCATGCATAATACGCACATATTTTCTCACATTACATCAAAAAATATATTTCAAAAGTGAAGTGTCCCTTGTTCTATCCATGGAAAAAAATTGAAGCAAACTTTTGTAGTGTCTTTTGAGAATTATTTTTATTATTTGCATGAAATTTAAGCATATATTTTGCAAAAACCACTCGTTTTTTAAAACAATATACATTTTAATTATTAAATCTGATTTTTAGAACATATTTCATTTAAGACAAAAAGCTTGGTATTCAAAGCTGTTCTTTTGCCAAAACAACTTCATGCAATTTCGAAAATGTAGTTTTCGCAGAAAAATGGAACGGGCACCATTTTATAGTCTTTTGATATACATACATGAAGAAAATTTTAAGAAACTTTTTGGAGCCATTTTTCAGTAAAAAACTGTTTACAAATTTGAAGTTAAAAATTATATGAGTACCACCAGCGATTTTGCAAATGTTCCATAATATCAAACACACATACCCAGGCTGTTGTGGAAGTAAAACAGAACATAGATTAACGAATGTTCAATTTTTTTCTGTAATCTGCAGGATAAAAATGAAAAAACACAAATTTTTTTAAAATTCTTGAATAAGGATCATTGCATTTTGATCAATAAATATGAAAATACCATGTCCAAGATCAATAGATGTCTCAAAAGTAATAAGTAACCTGAAATATTGTGTTTTCCATTAAAGAAAACATTGACAAAAATCTGCAGCTTAGTAATCATATTTCTGCATGGGAGAAGTTGAAAATGGATTGTAAAGTTAAAGACTTCTTCCATTTTAATGATACTTTTTGGAGAACTGTTTGCAGTCACAAGTTTATGATCAATAGAATCAGGAGCAGATCCAGAGACAAATTATGGGAGGGGAAATTCAAAACGTTTTGGTAGAATGCGTTACATTACCGATGTTGTAAAGTGTTGCTGGCTATCAAGTGATAAAATTTATTTGGCAGGTTATCAAGTGATAAAATTTTATTTGTTTTAACAATTAACTGAAAATATTTTTGCTTTTAAAGTTTCGTGAAAATTTAAAATTAATGGTAACTGAAAAATGTTTATGGGGAGGGGGGGTATTTCCCTTGTTTTCCCTCCCGTGGATCCTGCCTGATACAATTCAGGGAGAAAAAGACAGTGAAAGACCCAACAATGATTTTGATAATGATGACAATAATGCTGCTATACTACAAGTTTGTAATCTTGTCCGACTGCACAAGGAGGGGTGACTCCCACCATCTACCTCTACTTGCACTGAAAATATCTCTCTCTCACTCACACTGTGCGCCAACAAGGAGGGGGGTTGGTAAGCACACACCAGCTGTTGTGTCTGGGCATGACAGATTTACTAGAGAGGTGGGATTTTCAGTTTTCAAAAGTTTTAAAATCTGCCATAAAATTAGTTACTGGCTTGATAAGACTGAATAAGAATGTGCCTGTTGAAGCACCTGTTTCTTTGCAATCATAGACTATGCATAATACGTCCGTCTACTTGATAGCTCCCAGCTGACAGGGGAGAGGGGGTTCCATTATCCAACCAGAGGCTTCAAATTGTGATGATGTCACTGCAGTTGCCGATGCTTATTAAAAAAAAAACAGAAATCTCATAGCACTAAGCAACTGTAAGTTTAAGAGGGACATTACTTCTTCGGTCATGCATTGTGTTTTGTATTATATTTCATGCTACTGTTGTTGTCAGATGCAAGAACAACCACACAACCATGTATCAGCTGCCCGAGTACGTGGCAACATTCCGCTACCCCTGCCCCAGCTGACAAGTAGACAGAAATATTATTCGGACAATAAATGTCAATGATTGAAGATCTGGTAAATACTAAGTATGATACTTCATAAAGACTTTGGAAACCTCTTACCTAAAAAAGGTTTGGCATTTCTTTCTTGGATAGCATTCTGTGCACTTAACTTCTTTTCAAATTGAACAAATCCACAACCAACCAACTTCCCATCATCTTTCTTTAAAAGTTTAACTTCTGATATGGCACCAAATTCCTTGAAATAATCCATTAGCTTCTCTTCAGTTGTCTATCAAGAAAAACAAATGTTTCAACAAGGTGGAGAGAGCTCCAAAGATATTTTTTCAAAAAAGGCGATCTACTAAAAACACTAACATATTTGTCATATATCATAAAATGTCATAAAAACACTAACATATAACATATATTTGTCAAAAAATGCAAACAAATATACTTTACTTTCTAGATTCATAATGTAAATTTTGATCAAATTTTATCATTTGCGCACCTTGTCAATATCTTCAGAAAATTTTGTATACAATTGTATTTCTAGAAAATTTATGTAATCTAAGTTCAAAGCAGTTAAGTTGTAAATAAATGTGAATTGAATGGGTGGGAAAGAAAAGAAAAGAAAAAAAAAAAAAAAAGAAAAAGGAGAGAAATGTATGGGTGACATTTTATAAATTCTGAGAAATCTGTTTATTTAAGTCAACAGTACAGTAAAGACATGGTGCTTTGTTTCATCATTAAAACTATGGCACTTTAATTGTTCCTTAAAACCATGAAAACACATTGCCACTGAAAGATAGCCTAAAATAAACACATTTCTTTCAGAATTTATGAAATGTCACTTATACCGTTCTGGTTTTTATTCATTCAATTGTTGGAGAGAAAAATTTACATTTTCCCCTGATAGAAAATATTTCTTTTAGACACAAATATCTCACCTTGAATGATAAATTTCTAACAATAATTTTACCCTTTTTGGCAATATGTGGATTTTTCTTTGGGGTATTGTCAATAGGTGACAGGCTGTTTATTTCTTCAGCTGCAGGTTTATTAGTATTTAGATCATGTTTCTTTTCATCTTCAATCTCATTTGCCATGTTCTCATCTTTGTCATTAGCCATGTTATCATCTTCACTGTCTTCTTTGTTCACATTTCTTCTAATATTATTTGACTTGCCTTTTCTTGCAGAATTATCTTTTTCTTTTTTCATATCTGCCTTTACTTCTGACAGAGGCATTGCCCATTCAACCCTTAACTTCCGACCTGAAATATTTCATTACAAAGTTTAATAGGAATCACACAATGTTTCTCATTAACAATTCATTACCAGAATCTAAATATTTTGGCAAACTATCATTTTATTTTGATTGCATGGCTGAAGCAGAGACCACAGCACAATTTAAGCGAGTTCTTTAAACTGTCACTTCACACTGCTCAGGTGAGGGAGAAATCCACAATGGAGAGGATGAGAGATGGTTACAGGGTTTTAAGAGAATTATTTTAGTCGGCAGGGGTAGTGAGTAACATACCTAATGTGACACATAGATATAATAAGCAAGGAATTAGGAGGTTCTATTCACACAGGAGCCTTTGGCCTGGGGGACCTAAATAAATTATAAAAATCAATACTGAAATAATTTAAATGCTTCATGTTAGGTTAGTTTCTTCATTAAGTCATTTCAGACCTACAACCTTTCCAGAGCTCCATTACTATTCTGTCCACTGAAGCAAAAATTGCATTACAGTAATTTTGCAGTTTACAATTTTGATTTTGATTTTGTGCATGTGTTGAACAAACTACCAAAGAGATTAGCTACGTTTCTGTCAAACACATTTCTTATGCTCTTCTAATTCTTTACAATTTGTGCTTTTGATTGTCTAGGGTTTGAGTTATGATGGTGGGAATAAATGTTATTCTTTATCCCTGGAGCCAAAAGGCATATTTAGCCATGATTAAGAGAATTCAAAATTATAGATTAACTGTGACAGAGTTTACATGCCCAGGGTGCGTTCCATGCCACCCAGGTAGGAGGAGTTTGTGATGGCTTCACGTGGACGTGTTATAAGGAAGAGGCCATTTGTACACAGAAGTGTTCTGTGCAAAAGTGAACATGTTTTGTGAGAAGCAAAATAAATATGAAAGGTCCTTACCTTTCTTCAGGGGCATCTTCAACTAACATGAAATTAACTTAGAAATTACACTTTTGTAATTTTTAGTTCAGAGTGTGGTTTATAATTATGGAGGGAGGGCACGAGAAGACACCCCTACTTCCTCCAAATCCTCTCCCCAACCCCTTTTATTGCCTACTTCCCTAGGGTGTACTGTGTTCTCTGCTTTAATTGATTGCACTTAGAGGAATGTTTAGTCTTAAAAGTCCCAGAAAATCTTTAAATCCTTTTTTGTACAGTTTCTTGATTAAATTATTCTTCAAATTTTTTTGTCTGTACTATTTTCCACTAACTTGTCTACATTTTTCACAAATTTAAATTAATACATCTGAATCCACACTTGAAATCATGTCAGTACTTTGTTCCACAATGTGATCATGTATTATGAAGTTGATCACTCTCACACTTTAAAAATGTTTAGCGCTTTTCAGAATCCAACTTATTGATTATTGCTTACTTTTGCATTCAATTAATCAACAAACACATACTAGAACTATCTGATTCACTTAGTATCACGTAAGAATATTTTACCCATGAAGTCTTCTCCTGAACATTGTTTCATGGCACTTTCTGCAGCATCCACAGTATTAAAGTGAACAAAACCATTGCCAGTTAGTTTACCACCTTTTTTAGTTGGTAAATTTACATTACAAATAACTCCAAACTTCTTAAAATGTTGTTTAATATCACCAACTTTAACCTGCAATATAATAGTCATAGAAGCCTTTTTAATTTGCCTTTTGAGAAAAAAGGAACTGTTATACAAATACATAAAATTACACGATGAACTTACTGAAAAAGGCAAATTTTTTAACATGATTGAAGTTGATTTGCCTCCACTCTGCAAATGTTTTTTGAATTCTTTCTTTCGGATTTTAAAATCCTGTTGTGTTTTGATCTTACCAGATGTTTTCTTAGAAAATTTACCCTTTGCCTCTATAACAAAAACAGAAAACATGTTATTAAACAAAAATTAAAAGAGCAATAACTTCTTTGTTACTTGAAAACATTTAATTTCTGTGGTATTATTAATTGATAAAAACAATCAGAAATGAAACTTACTTGCCATATTTCACCGAGAGCGAGCAGAGGGCAAACAACGGCAAATCAACTCACGTTAAAAGCTAACTTGTTACTTAAAACGCTTAACTAATGCCAATCAGCACTTTATTCGATTTGCGATTTGAGAAGGTACTGTAGGGGAACGACAGATGAATTCCCTGAAATGTATTGTAATTATATTACTACATTAGGAAAAACGTTATTAATATTTTATGACACCCTGTTTGGAATATTGTACTGGTTCATGCCACTTAATTACCCATGACGGAAGAAACATGAATTTACCCCTCAATATAACCTATTATCAACACGTTTTCTACGCCGCCGCAAACCGCATCAAGAACTTCACTTCCACACTTCCACGCTGCTTACACGCGTGACATGAAAATTCTATGGACTAGGAATAAGCAAAGAGTAAAGTAAGTTTATAAGTACCTCAGAAACAGTAATATTAACCCAATATATATTTTATGGTAGTAAAATATTGTAAAATGAAAGACCCTTTAACACAAAACTATGAAATGAAAACACATTGCAAAGGGTTATTCTTACTGAGGAAGAACTGAACAAACTAGACTTCAACTTTTTATAGTAATTTCAAAGATACCTTATCAGCGAGAGTGTATACACAAAATAACCATTCCTTACTCTATGGAAGCGTTGCTGTCAAAACGAAGTGACGAGAGGGCGAGAATCTGTACATCGTGACAACGTCCTGTTTGCTATTAATTAAGTTTTATGTGGTGGAGTGCATGATTATTTGTGATCAGAGAAATATTTTACTCGACCAAAATGACATCTGCAAACCTCCGGCAACAAAAACTAGAACAGCAGGTATATATTCACTCATTAGAATGCTTTATTGAAGGCTTCAAATGGCACCCTTCATGGTTTATTGATTCATAATTTGCTTTTCTTGTAGAGACAGTTAATGGAGCAAAAAATGAGGCAGAAGAGGCAAACTCCAGCCATGGTTCAAGCTTCTGACATAAGAATACCTTCTGCAAAAGGACAAAATAGTATGCATATGAGGAATTCTGCTTCTTCTAAAGGCAGGGAACTTCATGGTCAGTAAAATATATGTAATGGTTTTAACTGCAAATGAATGGTTGATAAAAATGAAATAGTGATATAATGTCTTTGTAAAATGTTTTAAAGGATATGATGGACCTCTTCATTTTATGTCCCCTGAGAATCCAGATTCCATAGCGTCAATTCAGTCAAATATTAACATTGCAAGCTCAGATTCACGTACTCAAGAAGAAGAAGAGGGTATGTTTGTAATTGTTATTAATATGTAGGTGGTTTGAAGTTATTATGATTACAGTAAACACAACCAGAAGAATTTATTTTCAGGTTTCTTTGGGCGCATGGAAACTCTGCATTTATCTGCTGATGATAGTCAAGACATAGAAGATGAAGAATCAACACCCATTTCACCTACATCACCTGTTGACACATTAAGTTTACCTGTGGCCCCCTGTTCTGACGATTCAAATTTTAATAATGTAAGAATTACAATATATCTAATTTTCTTTTAACAAATTAAATTATTGTGAAAATTCAAAATGTGAAAGTATTTAAGAGTGGTTTTTTGCTCATGTTAACAATGTTAGAGGACATTTAATTAATTTTATATAATCAATGTGCAGTAAGTGTTTGTAGAAACATCTTCCAAAAATGAAAAGTCTACGTAAGAATAGAACCTTTATAATGAAGTATAAGGAACTTATCTGGATGTTTGTACTGTTCATTAATTTATGTGTAATATTGTTTGATACTTGTTGAAGTAAAACCAAAATATTTCTTATAAGGACCGTGAATTGGAAGGTGATGTGAAGGGCAATTTAGAGAACTTTGTCTTGGAGCCTGGTTGCCAGAGTGTGCAATATAAGTGCCGAATAACAAGGGATAGAAAAGGAATGGATCGTGGTTTATATCCAACTTATTTTCTACACTTGGAACGAGATTATGGAAAAAAGGTTTCTATAATTTGATTTAAATTTTTTTAATCAAAGGATCATAACATCAGAAAAAAAAATTGTTAATTAATCACTTTTGGATTGTTAATTCTAGGTTTTCTTACTGGCTGGTAGAAAACGCAAAAAAAGTGCCACTAGTAACTACCTCATCTCCACTGACCCTACTGATTTATCTCGTGGTGGAGAATCTTTTGTAGGTAAATTGAGGTCAAACCTTTTAGGTACTCATTTTACTGTATATGACAATGGATACTCTCCTAAAAAGGCTGATTCAAGAGAAGACTGGAAAAGAAATACCCCTCGTCAAGAGTTAGCTGCAGTAGTTTATGTAAGTGAACATACTTTCTATCTATTTTATTTAATGTGTTTTTCTTTTTTATATTTTAATGAGTATTTATGTCTTTTAAAGGAAACAAATGTTCTGGGATTTAAGGGTCCCAGAAAAATGACAGTAATACTGCCAGGAATGACGCAGGATCATAAAAGAGTTCAGTTCTCTCCACAGGATGATCATGAAGGTTTGCTTGGTAAGTTTCCATTAATATTGTACATGAAAGGATAAATTGTTATAAAAAGTGATATTGCAGATAGACCTTTTATTGATTTTCTTGGAATAAACAATTGGAAGAATCCCTTGCCCCTTGTTAAACAACAATGTTCTGAATTCATAATATCTGAAAGATTTTATATTAAGAGTATGAAGTGAGTTGAACTCTCTTTCCAGGAAACAACTGTGGACCTAAACTTATTTTGGACCATTTTTCTGACTTAGTTTTCCCTGGCAGGACTAGATATTAATAATACACAAATTTATTGTTGAAAATAATAATTGTAACATGATTGAAGAATCCTAAGTTCTGAGACCTAATCTTCCAGGCTAAATTAGTCAATGATAAAAGTGAAGAGCATCATGTTCACTCAAAACGGTATCAAAAGTTCCAAGCCAATTTTTCAAAATTTAAAAATTCTTTATTAATCTTTTAAAAATTTATTTCCCCAGAAGATTCCAGAAACTTTTCAACATTTTTCTCAAAGTATAAATGACATATCTCAACATGACCATTATAATTATTTTTGTTCAGAAAATTGCATCTATGAAGTGTCTAATCAATTTATTACAAACATTTCAGAAAAAATTGACCTTCTTTTTGTGAACTTTGTATTATTTTTTTGTCTTTTTATTTCTTTACTCTTTCTTGTGTCTTACTTGCTTGTTTTTTTCCGAAGTTGATATTTACCCATTGATATGACCATACCTGAGGCCCATTGAATTTGAAATGGTAAATTTACATGAAGCCTTAATGTTTTCAAAAGGTTTTCAAAAACAGCTCCAAATATTTTCTTCAATTTTTCGAAGAATGGTTATGAAAATGGTGCAGATGAACTCTGTATTTTTGAGAATTGTAAGAAATTAAGTGCAAAACTAGAATTTTTTCATTAGTGAAATTTGTTCTTAAATATTAGATCTTGAATTAAGATCATATACATTTGTTTGAAAATTTGAACAATTTGCTATGTTTTGCAAAGTTTTGAAATTGCAAATTTGAATTTCCCATGTTTCTTTTGCTGACGTCAATTTTTCACAAGATCTCAGGGCGCTGTACAGCAATGGCAATGCTGTGACATGAAAGTTTGTGATGCAGAGAATTCTTAATCTCATATTCTCATTGTTGGATCATAAAGTTTCATATTGTATGGAAAGCAATTTTGAATTTTCAAATTTATATTGATATTTTAGCATTATAATATTAGTTTTCTAGATGTCATGTGCTACAATTGACAATGGTTTTACAAGTGATGGCTGAGATAGGAAATTAGGTTATGATATTATAGTATTATAATATTTTATGGTTGTTAATGTGAGAAAATATGTGCTGTTGTTGTGCCACTATTTACTTTCTCTTGTTTGCTTTTACATGGAGTAATATACTTAGTATAAAGAAATTAAAGTAATATGTAGAAAAATTGATTTTAAAATTCAAATGAAAATACATGTTTCGGTTCTCTTCATGCTAAATTTACGTGTGTGTGGAGGTGTGTGCATTAGTGTTTCTTTCTTTTCAAATCATCTACTTTTGTGTCTTTTTGTTTGTGAAGAACACCAGCGCCATAATCTTTCCCAGATCTTTTTTTTATATTTTTTTAACAAAATGAATATTCCCCAATCAATGTTGCCTGAGTGGAGGTCCTGTAAATTCGAAAGAAATTGCTTTGTTTTAGGGTGTAATAATGTGTTAGGTTTGATTTTGGGTGTATACAATGCACCTGGTACATTTGCAAAGTTATTCAATTTCTATTTCTTTAAATTTCTTACCAGAATAGAGTAAGTGCAAGTGATAAAGATGGCACAGGTCTGATTTTCAATGTTACTTCTGAATTTTCATAAATTGCGTGTTTCAAATTTTTTGGATCACCTAATTCTAACCTTCTAAATTAGATTTCATTAATATTGAAATCTACTTTCTTTATTTTTAAACTCTTATTCAAATCGCCTATTTAATTTCTCTTTACTTAATTCTGATTTTTATTTCTATACAACAATGCTATTTAACCTGTGCTCGCAATGCTCCTATTTATCTCAAGGTTTATTTAGTTATTTACTTAAAATAATGGGCCTGAAAATCCACTCCTCCTATGGCTGACAGAATTCTCTACATCTGGGAAATTTAGATTGATAGATTTATCTTTGTGATAAGTCAAAAGACCCTCATCTTTTAATGACCACTAGCGAGATGAAAGAACTAAACTTTTTGGCCCCCCTCATATTGATTTCCTCACTTGTTGGAAGATCCTCAAATGGAAAGATTCATAATGTTGATTACTGTTTTATTTTGGGGTCCTAACTACCTTTCAAGGTCATATCATGGAATTTCTATCTATTATCACCTGACACTATGTTAAAAAACGTTTTTTGACATTACTGTATTGAACTTTCTAACGTTTCACTGCATACATTTTATCAGGATTTTTTTCTTCTTTTTAGACTCATTTGAGTTTGTGGGGAACCTACAACAGCAAAGCTTCTTCATATAAAGCTTTTTATACAAAAAGTCTTAACTATTGCTGATTCTAAATGTTAAATGTCCTGAATCTTCAAATATTTACTTGTAGGCAGGGCTGGGTAGTATTTATAAACTAGTATTTGAAATATGTATTTTAAATCATTTTGTATTTAAAAAACTGTATTTTTGAGTTTTTTGGATTTGTTATTTGGAGATGTGTTTAAATACATACATTTTATTTCAGTTTGAATTTATTTAAAAAAAGAATACGTAAAATATTTAAATACAGATGAAGAAGGAGATAACAAAGATGGTTTCTTTTTGTTTGATTCTGCTAGTGAATACATATTATTGATACAAAAATAAAAGCTTGTTTCAACTGTTGAATTTTAATTCTCGTATTTTTAAATGATAAATCTAAATCATTAAAAATGCTGGACAATTATCCATAAAAACAAACAAAAAACACTTCATTATAACACTAGTTCGTGTTCATCCGTGGAATTTGAACTACTGTTTTCCTTTGTGGGTTTTATATATTTGCCAACTAGGTGTTTATTGTCTGATGGTTATTTGAAAAATTAGTTGTTTTCAAAGGAAATTCTGTTTATTTGAGTTAAGTATATTAGCTTATACATTTATTGTATGCTTATACATGTATTGTATACTAAAGAAGAGCGAATGACTTGTTGGGGGTTCATATAGGAAAGGTCAGATAAACGCTATTGAAATAATTCGTAATGTAGCTACAAAATTTGTGAAAAGGGGAAATTTGTTAGGAAGTGTTTCTGGATATATATTGAGATGGAAATCATTAATGAGCAAGGGCAAGAAACCAAAGTTGTGGGTATTTTTCAAAGCACTGTTGGGAGAACTGGCAGGGAGGAAAATTCAAGATAAGCAGCAGGAGATTGTTAAGACCATAGTGGACATATTCAATATGGAAAAACATAACTGATGATAGGAAATGCCTACATATCCTTAAACAGAGCAATGAAACATAGAAAACTAGCCTGCAGCACTGTTGTTGCTTTGGACCACATGTGTCAATAATTTTAGGATTAGATTAGATACTTGCAATTTCTCGTGTTAGCTGTGAAGTATCAAATTTAGAAATTCATCAATACCACATTTTAGTGGGCTCAATTAATTGATTCAAACAATAAATAGATCAGAGTTTGACCATTATGTTTAATGTACTGTTGTGAGTTAGAACTCTTTAGGGCCTTTCTATGAGAAAAAAGTTTGCTTTACCATTGAGATTATCGCCTGGTAAGCAACTGCCAAATGACAGTAATGGAAAACTGTTGTTGTTGTTTTTGTTAGTTGGTGAAGTACATATAGTATTTCATTGCATATGTAATCATATATTTAGTTATTCACAGCTTCTTCACAAGTAAAGAATATGTCTCTTGGGATCATATCCAAAGCAAATTAAATAAATGACCTATAAATGGAAATTGGCATAAAAAATCATGTTCAGTTAAAAATTTGCAAAATCTATGATTGCTTTGTTTCATACCAATTGCAAACTGAATTTCAAAATTGTGCACAATGGAAATGAAAAAGCGAAAGTACTTTTAAGTTTGTTTAATATGATTCAGAAATTGTTTCTATGAGAACAAGTTGTTATTACATTCAAACGTTCATTAGTTTATTTCCACTCCTTGTTGATTTTGGAGAGATCTGTACTGAAGGAAGTTGCAATAATAACTACTGATCTTTTGCTAGTTGCACCTTTCTTGGAGTTTTCTCAGATCAAAAATTGACGATGTTGGAACAATATTCTAAGTTTTTATCAGACTACAACAACAATTATTTTGATCTGCTTAGTAAAATTACTTCATTCAGTAATTTTGAATTTTGTTCTTGGTGGCATCTGATACCTATTTGTAATTTTTTTTTCCCTTCAATTTGTTGCATCTTTTATTGATGCAACATGTCTCCAAGCCCCATGAGGCATTGAGTGCTTTGGACATACTGAGTAATTCTCCATTAATACAGCGTGGGAGTAATCCTCCATTAATTCATATCTGTCACGTCTCGTCACAGTCAGTTTTCAAGAGGCCCCCCAAGTAGTATCTCTGCGTATTCACCTCCTACTACGCGTCCCTGCATCACAACTCAGAATTGGGGTAGGGTTTAAGACACTTTACAGGGGTTGGACTAGCCCCTGTGAAGCATGTAAACTCATTTTGTCATAAAAAATTTCACATGAGGTTCTATGGGGATTTTACAGGAATCGAACCCGGAACTTTAGTGGTGTAAGGCAAGTGAATTCGCCATTAAGCCACGAGAGCATTTACACTATTAACGAAACACTTTAATCACATTAGTGTATGTTTTAATGTTTTTTTATTAAAACTTAAAAATCCAATTATTTTTTTCAGGAACTTGTTTCCTATCTTCAGTACAATCTGGCATTTATTAAAACACTTTTTTCCCCAGGAGATGGTAAAAGAGTAAAATGTTCACTGGCCCATGTCATTTCATTGTGAATAAGAAAAAAAAATATTGACCAGTGAACACCTTACTGTTGAACTAAATTTTAAAGTAGTTCTTCCCATTTTTCTGATGCTTGCTTTTTCTGATACTATATGTTTTCAATGCAGAATGCTGGAGAAACAAGCAAATGGATAATCTCATTGAATTACATAATAAGACACCATCCTGGAATGATGATACACAATCATATGTGCTTAATTTTCATGGTAGAGTTACTCAAGCTTCAGTTAAAAACTTCCAGATTGTTCATGATAGTAATGGTAAGTTTGAATCCTTTGTATATTTTCAATTACAATAAAAATTGAACCTCAAAGCTATTAAAAATATTAATTCTGGGAGCAGTTTCTGAGACTCTTGCAAACTTTATGATGAGTTAGTAATGTGCTTGTATTTGAATGATTGTTTAACCAATTTAATTCACAATTCATTCAAATGTAGTTGCAACGAGTATTAAATATTGCCGCCAGGCAAGGAAGTATGTCTATCCTTTCTTGTTTTGTTGTAGTAAAACGATTTTCTTTAACCTGGGAAACTGACAAAAATAAGACTAAAAAGGATTTAAAAGGAATTTGTTTTGATATAGTTCATTTTTTTTTTTTTTTTTAAGTAATATTAATCTAATGGTATACTTGATTGTTCTAGCAGTCAAGCTCTAGTGAATTCCATATTTCATGTTTTCATGTTATTTTCCAGCTGATTATATTGTAATGCAGTTTGGCAGAGTTGCTGAGGATGTGTTCACCATGGATTATCGTTACCCTATGTGTGCTCTTCAAGCTTTTGCCATCGCTCTAAGTAGCTTTGATAGCAAGCTTGCATGTGAATAAATGCAGTTGATTACAAAGAATGGGAATTTTATGAAGCTGCATCATGTACAAAGTGTGAGTGATTTTTCTAGGACAGAATGCTTTGAGACATTGTGCTAATCTTTATCTGTTATGACTTTTATTGTATTGGTTCTTCATATGTATGAAAAAATATTTCCTCATATTAGCACTGATTCACGGTGCTGCGCACGCACAATCTTCACATTGTTAGAATCAATTTTGTAGATTAATATCTATTTTAAAATAATTTATAATGAGGAGTTAGAAAAGCCTATTTTATTTCTGGCAGTATGCCCTGGAATAGTTAACTGTTCCTCTGGCTTCATACAAATTAATTTGTTTAGTGCCTTTCCTCAATTTTGTTACCTACTGCCATTAGTGGCAAGAATTTTAGAATGTCACTTTTCATGTATATTTGTTTATACTGTATATCAAAACATTGTTTCTAGTCGTCTTTACATGTTGATTATGGTTTTTTGCCTGTCTAAGTTAATTATTTGCGTAAGTTTTGTTGGTGAATTTTGGGTATTTTTAGCATTATCCCATATTTCATAATCTAGTGCCTAATGCTATGTGCATTTTAATGAAAACGAGACACTGTATTAAGATACTTATAAAATGGACTATCTCAGTATAATATTCGGATTAGCCAATTGAGCAGTGTATGATAATTTTTGAAGTACAGCTTTTATATATAAATTACTGACAAGTACTTAAATCTTCGTCCTTGGAAAATGTAGATCTGACTTTAAAAGTGACTAATGTGATACTGTTGGTTGTGCAGCATTTATCAGTAGAATTGTGTATTAAAATAGTTACTGCTGCTTTGTCATGTCCAGTATTGTGTTCATGTAGTATGATTTAACAGTGTTATGGATTAATGCATTTATAAATGTATGAAACAAATTTTGCAAAGTATGAAACTTAGTTCCTAAATATCATCACAATTGGACATTGTGTTAACATATTTTTTATGGGATGGGATAATGCTACTCCCGAATTTCATGCAGTGTAATGTTCACAAACACCTTTTGCTCACCTTAAGTAATGTTCTTTTGTGAAATGTGATGTAATTATTTTTGTAGATATCATTGATTTAATGTGGTGGACTATCTTGTCAAACAAGACTCTACCTCATGAAATGCATAGAATGATATTTATCATGAAATGTATAGAATGATATTTATCATGAAATGTTAATAATGTGTGTTCTGCTTAAAAACTTATTTTTTTAGTCACCTATTTAGTAAAAGTTTTTGCATATTTTGATGAATATAATTCACATTTGTAGATCTGTTGATGAGCAATAATATCCTGTGTGTTTCAAAAAACACAAGGGTACTATATATTTAAGTTCCTTAGATGCACTTTCAATGTTACTTGTAGTCCTTGTTTGATCTCACATGTATCAGTAATGAAACTTGTTAGAAATCGTTGTGTTTTTAAAGGTGCAAAGCTGGTAAAGTCAATGATCTATTTTTATGAGAATTAACTTCTACATGTGGTGTCATGATTAGAATATAGACATTTTTCTGAGTGATAAATAGGATATATCCTCGCACTTATACTAATGAGACAAGCAATATTGATTTTAGTTACAATAATTACATTGTATGTTGGTAACCATTCCTAATGAACTGACCCTCTGACAGTGTGCCGTTAGGAGAATGACATCCTCTCAAGAAAAAGTGTATGTTTTGAAGTAAAGATATCAGTGCACAAATCTTTGCTCACTTACACAATCAGTATTTTTGCCTTATATGTGGTGAAAAGGGAATTGAATTTGGAAGCATTTTATTCTGTACTTACAAGGTGAATGTTCTGTAAGTGTTTGTTACAGATGTCCTGTACTTAGACATGCATATTTTTGCAGTTATATGTAAATGCAGTTGCAGTTTTGATGCCTGTCATACATTCCAAAAATATATTGTGCCATTTGGTGCCAGTAATTTTACTTGATTTTAGTGTGGTATCTTGGCATTCATTGTTCTCATTGTTTTTTTCATCTATTATTAAGGCAATGTAAATGAAACATTTAGTTTAAAATATTTAGTGCCATATATATTATATTTTTAATTTTCTGTAAGAGAGTATATTTGAGATTTCTTGTTCATTTCAACTAGTTTATGTTTAGATATGTCTTTGGATATTTTTCCTTTAAAGATGATTCGTGCATTTTATAATCAAAGCAACATTTTCATAGCATAATGATTACAGTACTATATTTTATTACAATGTTTTAGTAGAAGTTGACTGACAATGTTATAAATTTTTAGCATAAACTTGTTAATCCACCAGTAGATTATCATAATATTTTAAATGTGAATAAAATATATTTAAAACCTTGACAGTGTTCTTATGTGCACTTTTAGCAGGAAAACCCATCAGGACTGAGGTTGACACATTTATCACACCAATTTTAGAAAAGGTGAAATAATTTGTGCCTGAATGTCAACTTCTGTTCATACTGATGACTGTCAAGAAAAGTTTCACACTGCTCTTAGAGCAGGGTCATTTACTTATTACCTCTCAACACTAATAAATTTGTAAGATATAGAAATTAAAGATAACTGACATTGATATACAGTTCAAAATCAATTGTATGGTTATTGTTATATAATGCTGTATGCTATTGTGCTAACTTGGCTCTCTTGAAGTTCGGAATCTCATGAACTTTGTTTTTTCAAATGCAATACGTAAGCAACAGCTGTTTGCTTGAGAGGTTGAAGAAAATGTCAAGTTCTTCATTTGCTGTTGGTTATATTGTGCTTTATGCAGTTGAATGTGGATATAATACTACTCTGAAACATATCGAGATACTGTGTAATGGCATTACCTTCATTGAAGTTTGCACTTGACAAATGGGATCAAAAGGTTAATGGTTATTTATTTGAATGTAATATTTCTTGTCTAGAATGAAAATAAAAATAAAGAATATATATTTATATTGCAGAATATGACAAAAAATGTTTGGGTACAAGTGTTGAGAGAACACAAAACACTGAATTTTTGGTGTTATATCTAGTTGTCAAATGCAGTCTTTAGTGAAGTCTTCTATGTTTATTGTATGTTGTTGAATGAGGTAATAAAATAAATTTGTGTATGACTTTGCGTATTTGGAATTATATGTACTAAAGCTCATGGCTACTTCACTTTCCTCTTCAATCCATTCTTACCATAATAATAATAATAGATAATAATAATAATAATAAAATATATAAAATAATAATAACTAAAATAATAATAATAATAATAATAATAATATGTAATAATAATAATAAATTTTTTATATAGTTATTTTCTTTTTTTTGAAAATGAATCACCTTTTAGAAGAATCTTTTCACAACAGCTTGCAAATGCAGAATATTATTTTACCTGATTGTATATTATATGAGGATGCTGGACATAGGAGATACCATTTGTAAGATACAGATAGTTATTAATAGGGAAAGGATTTGTTAAGGTGCGGCACCTTTTCAAAAATGTAGCTGTTTTCATACAGATAGTTTAATATATGTTTTTTCTGTGGGGGGATGAAATGAAGTGAAATATGTATATTTTTTCTTCTTGAACTTCTTTAAAAATCTCTTTTAATCAGAAGTCAACAATATTAATAAACATTATATCTTTTGTGTAAACCACCAGTAATGTATATCCCAGTAGCACAGTCAATCTGCAACTGTAAAGACAAATTTCAATTTCAATAGTGTTGCTGCAATAGTTTAACCCTTTCCCGCTAGATTTAAAGTGTTTCCCAGACAGGCAGGACGAGACATTTAAATCGGTGGGCTGAAATCCACTTGTGTGTGTCCCGAGGAAAATATTTATCTTTGCTACTGTGCCGCCGTCAATACTGAAAGAGCATCGGCAGCGCTCGTGGATTTGGAGGGGTCAGGGGAAGTTGCCCGCGAAGGGCCAAGGTTTCCACGCAGGCTGTGCGAGCGTTCACCTGCGAAGTACATTAATACTACGCTGTCCGCGGGAAAAATAAATTCAGTCAGTACGGGCAATTGTTTACCAGTTCTCTATCTACTGCAATGTTGGATAAAGTACTACGAATCACTTCTTACGGACTATTTAAAGAAGAAAAAGAAAAAACAAAGAAAAAAATGGTGCAAAGTGATATTGGTATTCTAGAAACTGAGTTCACATGAGTAGATTAAACCTTAATACAGTTGTTTCAGTAGCACCTTTGTACTTTCAGAACCTCTCCCCCCCCCCCTTTACGACCATAATTTGCACTTCAAAATCATTTCCCTGGTAATCATAATGAAGTTGCAAATAGGCCTGGAGCGGATCGGAAAATTATTTTGGAGGGAGTGGGAAAGGCAGTCTCGGTTTGTCCATCACTTCATCATTTTTACAAATAAAAAATATCATTGTTAACCTAAAATAAACCAGTGCTACAACAACACATACTTTCTTGAATTATTTGTAACGGCTATGCAATATACTATATGAACCTGCAAAAGGATTTCAAACCAGCAAAAACTTTTTTCTTCACTCTAAGATTCAAACTTGGTGTTTCAGAGTTAACATGCCATTCACTTTACCCCAATACTACCAGCCTCACAGTGAATATAAACCCAACCTTCCTAATGGTTAAAAGACATTTGATTTTCTGAAAATTATGAGATTTTAATTTATATTATTTCAAGATCTATATTTAAGGATCGGATTTCATGATGGAAAACTATCTCCCTCTTCAATATTGATGTTTTGCAATGTTCATTTTTTGTCTACAATTTTCGTAAAATTCAGAGAGTTCAAGGAAAATGAGACCTGCGCTATTCTATTCCTGAGAAAGAAAAACACATTTGGATCCGTTTTTGAGAAAATGTTTAAAAATTGCCTACATTTCACGCAAAATTACGCCGAAAATACTTATATTTTCGAAAAATTGTACATGGTCTTTTTTAAAGATGTCGTTGGACAAGTTTTGTTACTTATTACATTACTTATAAAATTTTGAACTTTTGTCATTTTCGAAAATTAGGGTATCAACTAGCCCTTGGTGGCTCGTTGGTTAGCTTTGCTCACAGTGTTGCAAAGCTATCTTGAACTAGCTAGCTTTCAACTTAGCAACTTGAACTAGCTAGCTTTCCTTGAACTCTCTGAATTTTCGAAAATTGTAGACAAAAAATGAACATTGCAAAACATCAATATTGAAGATGGAGATAGTTTTCCATCATGAAATTCACGCTTTCTATTTTTTCACACGGCGCAACCCCGGATTTGATTCCCGGTCGGGGCGACTTAATAGTGCGATTTCCATGCAGTGTCCCAGTATCTGTTGCTGTGTGACTATGAAGAAGCTCACTTCTCAGGTGGAGAAGACCAAAATACAGCTGGGATGGCTATGTGATAACCTCACGTAACCCTTAACCCTTGGCCGTAAGGCCGGGACGCTGCTGGTATTAATCACGCAACGTTTCTTGAACAATGACCTTGCTTTCCCCTCTGGCACATTAAACAGTGGAAGGAAAAAGCTCGCAGCGAGCACAGATGACATCTTATTTATCATTCTTTTTATTTATTTACGTCAAAAACAGTTAAAAACTGTGTATGACGTGCTATGGGGAGAAGTTAATTTGAAGGTACATTTACGTCCAGAAGCAAAACAAGGGGCAATCTCAGCATTTGCTCGAGGATCAGGGAAACTCGACAAAAACCTGATCGAGATGGGGGCCATTGACCCAGAAGCTGAAGTACAATACTTGTTACAGATTCTTTACAATTATACAATCCAAATGATATATATTACATTAACTGTCATTTTAAAAATTAATATTACTTTCCTCTTGCATGCTCAGTGTAGTCTCTAATTGCATAGAAACAGTTGTGCAGCAGAAAAGATTTTACTTGGGACTTAAATTTTTGTATCAAATTTAATCGTTTAATGTCATCTGGCAAGGTGTTGTAAAATCATGTACATGTATTATATGTGATTTTTTGTAGTGAGCTGTTGATACTGTTACCTGATGAATGTGATTACTACGTCGAGTGTTGTAGTTATAGACAACGGCGTTTGCTGAAAATTTATTCCCGCCCTTAAGTCATTTTTGACAAAATCACTGATTCATTTATTAAGAGATAAGGTAATGGTAAAATACCTAGATTAATAAAGAGAGGCTTACAAGAATCACGTGGGTGGGATTTGCTTATTATTCGTACAATTCGTTTTTGTAATCATCCCAATCACATCTTTACTGGCGCGAAATAGAAACTATTTTTTAATTCGAGTACTTTTGTCTGTGATTTTCTAAAAAAACAACAACTAAATGACTGAAGCAGGTGAAGATCCATGACAGGAGATACATAAGAACTGAGAAAGTTGGTACGGAAACTATTGAGAAAGTTTGACACGACTGATTTTCCAGAGATTGGCATTGCTTCATAAACTCTAGTGGCCGATTTCGTAACTAACACCCCCACTTTACCCGCATTTCTTCAATCCATCGTTCAAAAAAAGTTGCGCGAGTAATGGGCCTTAGCTCGTAAAGAGTTGTCCCTTAGTACATACAAGAGATATTATCTGCGTCAAAAAGTGTACAGCCAAACACTAATGCACGATGAGTTGCCTACTGATCAGGGACAAATGTCACATGTGTAACTTCGTTATATAAATACTTTCCACCACATGATAATTGAAAAAACGTTTTTATTTTCGACCCCCTTTCACTGTGCTAGAAGATTGTACATTTATTCTGAAATACCTGTATATGCATGGAGGTATTTGGACTCATCCCCCCCCCCCCAACTCAGCATTTCCAGAACACCTACTTGATAGGGTTGCTACGTAAAATAATTTGGCAGCTAAGTCTATTAAAGTATATGATTTGTTCATTACCTCTAAGTAATTTTTGCATATTTCATATTCTTGAAAATATTTGTTCACAGAATAAATGAAGGGTCTTCCTTTTTCCATTTTGTCGCATGAAACCAAGTTATTATTATCTGATTCTAAATGGAGGTCCTTTTTTATAGACTGGAATTTATTTCAGTTCATCTAGATTGCCACTAAGAATGAAGCAAAATTTTCTGATTTAGTATTTAGACTCAGTGGAGTTTTTCTCGGGGAAAACTGACATTCTGTCAAAAATTGCAAAGGTATTTAGTTCCTTGCACCCAAAATTTCAATTTCTTTTTGAGTAGCATAACGCTTTGTTTCCTTCAGAATAATATGTAAAATAGTACGATCAGAAAATGTCAGAACAATCCATATGGCTGATACATGAAACTGACAAAAAACCTGTACTTTCAGAATTTTGTATAATGTACTTAACTCTTTTGGAAATTCGTTGCAATCTTCCCGAAAAGTTACATTGTTTAGTATAATATTTATAACAAACATAAGCAAAACCTTATTATCATTTATTACAAATATAAACTTGTAAGTATCTAGAACGGTCTTGAAGCCAGTACAAAACCTGCGTATTAACCTTTCGAATTGTGTTATTCTCCCCGGATGGTCACTCAATCCGATCAAAGCCACAAAAAGAGAAAGAAACACCGATCGATAGAACATGAGTACCCATTAATGTACCAAACTCTTTCTTAACTTATTATTGCCAGACATGGACAATACGTATCCTCCTTCCAGACTTCGACGTCCTCAGCCCCTGAAATGTAACAGCCACAGAAAATCATACGCAACACCAGCTCTGCGCTTACTTTCCGCGTACATACATTTCCAGCTGGACAATAATGCGCTTATTTGTGGTAAAACTTTTTATATTCGACTTCTCAGACCATCCAACCTAGATTGCAATCCATCATTGTTTTCAGTTCCGCGGGGTTTTGGCTAGACTGACTTCAATCTAGCGGGATCTCGCGTAGATGAAAGATTTTTATGGAATTAGAGAAAACTAGTGGTGTTACAAAATGGCACAGACTTTCTCGTATAAGTTTTCTATTTTCTTTGGTCTTTGCTAGCTATTCGGACTTGCCACACACTCTTGCCAGCTGCCATCTAGCCGCCAAAAGTAAACTTTTTTTACATTTTCACAATTTTTCGGTTCCCTAATAGTACAACTGAAGGGTTATGTTAAAGAACATTAAAGAAGAGTAAAACCTCGTCCTAAATGACAGTTTTTCGTTGAAAA